GCCGACGGAGCTCAGATGCCACGGTTATGCGACGGTCACAGATTGATATGCGTCGCGTATGCAACCAAGAGCCACAGATGATGAGCCGACCCGGTCCCAAGTCCGGGACGAGGAGTAGTCAGAGTAACAGAACTTTTGACCAGAACAACACCTGCTTCTCGTGGTGTGAGGGTTGGGGGCCTATCCGCAGTGTCCTTGGGAAGCCACTTACGGGATATGCCGTGAACAAGGGCTGAAGCTTTGAGAAGGGCAGCAACAAAGGTGCGCGGTCCCATCCAACTCAATTGGATGACTCATGCAGGCCTGCACTGCACAACGTTGAAGAGGCAACTCGCGCGATGCGATGAGTCCCTGTAGCACCTGTGTGATGTGGAGATCTACAGCTGAAGTGCCCAGAAAGCTTTCCTCCATTGAGNNNCTGTATAGTGTATAGCGTAGGAGCATCCTCCTTATCCTCCTCGTACTGTTCGTTGGATGTTGACTGGAATCAAGTACATGGCTGTTCGTAGCATTGATTCCCACTGTGGTTTTAGCGCACTCCATGCGCCGGTAAGCAGTCTGTGCTTGAATGGAATGGATTATTAGTAGTAGTAGTAGTAGTAGTAGTAATAGCAGTAGTAGTAGCAGTAGTAGTAGTAATGATAATAATAGTAATAATCATAGTAATAGTTGCAGTACTAGTACGAGTACTAGTACTAGTACTAGTAATAGTAATAGTAATAGTAATAGTAATAATCATAGTAGTAGTAGTAGTAGTAGTCGTCGTAGTAGTAGTAGTGGTAGTAGTAGTGGTAGTAGTACCCTACGCGTTTTTAATCGATCGCGGGTCCAAATGCGTATTGCTGGGGTTGGAATTGGGTGGGGGGTGGGTGGGGGGGAGTGGGAAGGTAATTACGTTCGTTGTATTTTGATGTCACTGGCCACGTCTTATCATGATAGGAGGAGCCCTGCTTAGAGACTTGGCCGCCTGGTGACAGCAATGCGCTCAATGCGCTCTTGAGGCAGCGCAAGCTTCTGTGGAGACTGAGAACACTTCGCCGGCCAATCGCCCTAACTTTAAAGAATTCAAGTGGGGAAGCTGTCCAGAATGTGGCCGCACGTGCACACCGCACTGTTACAACAGCGGCAAGATCCTCGGCTTTCCATGGTTCCTAATTTTGTCTATCCAAAAAGGTTAAGGTCACTTTAATAGTGAAGTCCCTTTTACAAACTGCAAAGAGTTCCCTGTACGGCCCTTAGAACCGTCTAATTTTTCAGCATGGACTTTTGGCCGAGGAATGTCGGCGAAGTGTTCTTGGTATGCAACGGCTGGCGCAGAATGAACCAGACAGGGCAGCGCTCTTGTTGAGGCACGAAGCTCTTCGACATGTCCCTCTTTCAAACCTTGCCTGGGGTCATCAAGGAGAAGTACCACAGCCACTTAGGTTGTCACTCCAGCGTAACAGACGCAGATGATGGCAAAAAAATCCGGCACTCTTCTGCTGCAGATGCGGTTCTCATCAGGGACAGCGGCGCGTAAAAACGGCCAAAACTAGTCACTAGTTTTTACGCCTTTTCATGAAGCCCTTAACGTTTCACACGAGCAGTCCGGACATTGCAGAAGCGCACGAAGTCCTGTAATTTACAGCACTTCCAAACCTTTTGATAAATTCTACTCCAACTTTCAAGGCCACAAAAGACCGATCGATTATCATCCTGATAAATCAACCCACAAGTAGTTTCCCGGATTTTTTGACCCTCAACTTTGCACAACATCAACAAGTCAATGCCCACGAAGTACTGTAAAACGCAGTATTTTTGCAACTTTTCGCAAAAATGTGCAAGCCCAAAAACACTGCGATCAATTAGCATCGCGACGCCTAGTAGTAGTAGTAGTAGTAGTAGTAGTAGTAGTCGTGGTAGTAGTAGTAGTAGGAGTAGTAGTAGTAGTAGTGGTAGTAGTAGTAGTGGTAGTAGTAGTGGTAGCAGTAGTAGTAGTAGTAGTAGTAGTAGTAATAGTAGTAGTAAAAGTAAAAGTAATAGTAATAGTCGTAATATGAACCAAGTAGCTACTCCCTTCGAGGTGGCCATCG